GGGATGGACCCCGGTATCCTTTCCCCTACCTAGGAACTAGCGCACCTGTGGGAGAAATCCCAAAGGCCAAAAAGAGGAAGGGCAAAAGGAAGCGGTGGGGAGGAGGAGGAGGAAAGGAAAAAGGGGAGGATGGGATAGGGGAGGGGAGATTGGGGGGTAATTAGGTTCGGTTGAGGAAGAAGACCGACAGGTCTAATTCCTCAGACCAAGAGCCTCTTCACCACGCCAAGGAGCCCCCCTTGAAGAGGTGTAATATCTAAAATATAATTTTAATCTTTACCAAACTGAACATCATATTTCTTTGAGGACACGCATGTGAAAAGTTTTGCATTGGTTATGGGCAAATAATTGGAATGGTCAGAGCTCGAGAAATAACTCGGAAACAAGTCATGACGCCAGGATAAAAGCTAAACTTCTAGTATTGCTCTTTCATCCTCTGCAGCAGCGCTGCATGACCCTTGTAGGTTTAACGCTTAGTTTTGACGATAATTATCCTCTGCAAAAATACCCTTCAGAGGGGGGTGCCTCAATATTGGTGAAGGGCTCTAGATTCAAAGAACTGGCACTATCCTTTTCCTTAGATCAAACCACATTACCACCCATTATCCAGGTACCGATTTAATATTTCTGGTGGTGATAGTGTGTAAAAAAAAAAAAAAAAAAAAAAAACTATTCAATCACAGTAAGTTTGGAATATTTTTAATTATTCATTGTATATCAGAGTAGTTAACAATTTGATGAAAGACCTCTGGCATCTCAGCAATGTCAACCAACAATTCTGGATAAAAATCCAAGTCAGAGAAAATAAGTGTTATAGAATAAGGCTGAAGAGTGGAGACGGATGTGGATAAAACTAAAGAGGAGGTACGTATTAGGAAAAATAAATAAACTGTATTTAGCAGGTAATCACTTGACACAGTTTTATGGTTTAAGTAAAATGTTATAAAATAAATGATTAAGATATATATAATAGAGGCATTATCACTAAGCTTTTCATACATTAGAATGTGATTCTAGCAGCTATATTTATTAGTCTCTTTAGCTAACTTTCAAGTTAAGCAAAACAGAATGCTTTGCAGCACAGTTGAGGCATCAAAGAATTCACATGGGATAGAGGCTACTAGATACTTTGCTGTATAGCCCTTGTGGCTTAGCGCTTCTTTTTGATTATAATAATAATAATACTAGATACTTCTACATTTTGAAAATGCTCTCACAATTAACAGTTACTATAGGTAACAGGACTTTTTTCAAGATTTTGGGTAAAAGGTGAAGGATTATTGATTGCAGGAATTGGAGCTAACTTTCCATTGGTAAGGCTCTGTATGACCCATGTGGGTTTCACACTTCTCCATTATCATAATCATAATACTCTGTACCCCACGCTACAGTGCTCGCCTCATACGGTACATACTGTACTTTGCACTAATTTTTTTCACAAACATTCAGTATCCATGTCTGAGGCCTGATACCAGTTAACCACCTGAAACCAATCCTGCAATAAGAGGCAGCCATCAGAGCCATATACTCTAGGTTTAGCAACATACAATGTTCTAATTCAAATATCTGCCTACTGAGCGTATGTATCATACACACAAGCTACTCTCCTCTGTATGTTCATGACTCTGAACTAAAAGTTAAAAAGCAGACCTCCCTCTTCCTCAAGAGCTATAACAGAACCCATAGGCATGACACTACTTTGATATTGTCTGAATGGATCTGTGTAGAAATAAAAGTGCCCAAAGTCTGGAATTATCTGCCAAAGGATGCTAAAGGCTTATTACAAGACCCTAAAATTCCAGAGAAAACTTAAAAGAACCCTGTGCAAAATTATTTGCCTTCGAAGAACATTTCCATGGCTTGTCTTATGTTTATTACCTCTAATACTGGAGTGTGAGCAAGGTAACATTTATGAAGGGATTCAGGAGAAACTGATTAGCTGGACTCGAGTCCTGGAGGTGGAAAGTAGTACAGTGCCTGAACTCTGAAGGGAGTGGGGATATTGCAGTCTGGAGGTTCATCTGGCAAGTGTGATTGAATGAATGATGGTGAAAACATTTCTTCTTGTTTTGCATCACCCTCCCTCAGTGGGGAATGGCCAGCATGTTAAAAAATTGTACTGACTATAATTTTAAATTTTTCTTTTGAATTCAAATAATTACCTTGTAAAACTCCAATAGTAAACCTTACTTTATTTTTAATAGCTTGTCTTTGTTTTCAAGTATACAACATGTTACTAACTAGAAACCTCTAATACAGCACAGTAAGAGCAAGGTGCATGATGCACAGAAAATACTTTACTGTTTTTGTTTTTCACTAAGCATTTGATACCCAGGGTGCCTGCTTGAATACAGTCAACTAGGGTCCTTTATGGGTTTTGGGATGCTATATATAGGGTCAAATACTTGTACTGAAAATAACTAGAAATTTAAAATTTGGATAATATATTGCATTTTAACAACTATAAATAGGATACCATTGTAAAGAACTTGCCCCACACAGGCTCAAACCCCTGATAAGCCAGTCCTAAAACTAGCCATGGGTTCGTGCAGAGTGCAGCAAGTTGAGCTGTATTTTAATTCCACATCTGTACCAAAGTGTAATTTATATCCTTTCAAAAAGCAGAGTTGTCATGTAGTCTCCTGTGTCACTGTTACATGAGTGGCGCTATGCAGTTACCCTCCCTCATGTGATGTTTTACTCTGTTTTTTAACCCATAAACGGTCCAACCAGATCTACGTTCACATGTGTAGTGCTACAAAAGTAGATCAAATTTTTTTTTACACATTTTCAAATGTAAAAAAACAAAAAGATCTACTTTTTTTACATACTTTCAAATGTTGAAAAAACGTATATATATACATTTGGACCGTTTACGGGTTAAGTGATGAGAGAAACTTAAATACTGTATAAAATTTTATGATGTGATACTGCATTTGCTTTTTAAGAGGATCAGTAAGCTAGTGGAAGGTCTTGGTCAAGTAACCAAAAACTCCATAGAGCTTAAGACCTGTGTCAGGAGAAATTTTCTCAATTCTCCTGAAAGACTACCACACCTCATTTAGTCTGAGTGTCCTTATTTGCTATTATTATATAGCCAAGTAGTGTATTAAATATAAAAGAATAAATAATAACTAAACAGTAAAATCTCAAGCAAAAGGCACTTTCAAAATGACACAAGGCAGCTTAGATACTGTACTCGGTTTTGTTGACGATAATACATAACAGAAATTACAGGTCTCCCTCAACATTCGCGTTTTCAACTTTTGCGGGCCTCACACATTCGCGAATTCCCAACTGCCAAATCATATTCAAGTTTACCGCCACGAGTCCTTACTACCCTCCCTCCGACCCCTGCAACTGGCAGCCAGCCCTCGCACCACTGTGTGGTGAGTGTTTTGTTTGTTCATTATTTGCTATTAAACTACAGTATAAATAATGTCAACCCATCCATGACTGCATATTAGAATGGCTATTTGGACAGGTATTGGAAGGTGACGTGTGTTTACTCTTGAACACAGCAAAGAATCAAACATTTCTGCTACTGCTAATAATAATAATAATAATAATAATATAATAATAATAATAATAATAAATACGATAGAATTGAAGAAGGAAATTGTACAAAAATACGAGGGCTGAAGCAGTGGTGGAGGAAGTGGTTGACGCATCGTCAGTGTGGCTTTGTTTATGCTGGAGTGAGTATTAGTTTCCGTGCTCTTCCAAACACTTCACAATAATTCATTGTATTTGGTGCTTGTAGATTGTGTGACTGGAGTGGTTGAGGCAGTGGTAGAGGCAGTTATAGAGGCAGTGGGTGAGGCAGCAGTTGAGGCAGTGGGTGAGGCAGTGGTAAGGCAGTGGATGAGACAGTGGTAGAGGCAGTGATATTTACTAACATATGTTATAAATAATAATAGTACATTATGAATAACATTTATTATTATTATTATAAATGTTATTAATATTAACATGTATTATTATTATTTATAACATATATGTTAGTAAATACCACTGCCTCACCCACTGCCTCTATCACTGCCTCTACCACAGTGAAATGTTTGGAAGAGCACAGAGACTAATACTCACTCCAGCATAAACAAAGCCACACTGACGCTGCGTCAACCACTTCCTCCACCACTGCTTCAGCTCTCGTATTTTTGTACAATTTCCTTCTTCAATTCTATCGTATTTATTATTATTATTATTATTATCATTATTATTTTTATTATATTATTATCATTATTATTTTTATTATACGTATTATTATTGTTATTTTTATATTATTATTTTATTATTATTTATTATTATTATTAGCAGTAGCACAAATGTTTGATTCTTTGCTGTGTTCAAGAGTAAACACATGATGTCACCTTCCAATACCTGTCCGAATAGCCATTCCAATGTGCAGTCATAAATGGGTTGACATTATTTATACTGTAGTTTAATAGCAAATAATGAACAAACAAAACACTCGCCACACAGTGGTGGGAGGGCTGGCTGCCAGTTGTGGGGGGGTAGTAGGGACTTGCAGTGGTGGAGGCAGTGGTATTTAATAACATACTTGTTGTTAAGGCATAACGTATGTATTTAGTACAATTTACGACGTTTTCATGTATTTTATGATTGTTCATGGCTCAACAAGTTAAGGAAGCAGTATTGTATTATATTTCCCTACAATATATTGGGGCACCAAACATTCACGGTTTTTCAACATTCGCGAGGCTATTGATCCCCTAACCCTCGTGAATGTTGAGGGAGACCTGTAGTTTCATTTGATATTTTTTTTCTGATAAAACAACAATAATGCGTGTGTCTTGCAAAGTTACTGTTTTACAAAAAAGTATTTTTCCAACAGAAATCACCAATTTGTACAATTCCCATAATAATTTTATTGCTAATAAAAGCAAAATTTTTATTCCTCTTTAGAATAAAAAATCCCTTGGCATGTTCAATAATTATTATTCCTTTCATAATTAGAAAAGCTACCAAAGATACAATTCTACTCTTTTATTTTATTCACCCACAAAAGTAGCCTATATTTCCTTTGAATATGTTTATAGTTTTGGTTTTTGGTTGGGGACCACTAAGAGTGGACCCCATCTTTATATACAGTGGAACCTTGACTTGTGAGTTTAATCCATTCCGTGACCTAGCTCGTAACTCAATTTACCTGTATATCAAATCAATTTTTCTCATTTAAATTAATTGAAATGCCATTAATCCGTCCCAGCGGCAGGACAAAATATTTTAATGTAATGCTAATATCAACTCCATGCAGCGCTGTATAGCCCTTGTGGTTTAGTGCTTCTTTTTTATTATAACAATATCAACTCTATGGCTTATTTATCTATTACAATTCATGTAATACGACATATTAAACAATATGATTAACAGAGAAACATGATATATACTCTAGAATGAATAAAATAAGCATAATATGATGAGTGATGATGGCGGCAGAAGCGGCGCCAACGTCTGCCATTTATTCTTCCACTCTGACTATAGTATCTTCCTATGCTTTTATTATAAAACACTGAAACAATATGTATTTATAAATAAGAAATATTATATAAAAACATAATGAATCGTAATACTGTCCTTTGTGCTTACTGTCTTAGGACCCATGGTTAGAAAAAAGAAATTTGGCCAAATGACTAAAAAAAAAAAAAAAAAAAATGCAAGCAAGCACAAGAGAACTGCTCCCATGGCGATGTAAACATGTGGACTCCTTACAGGATGTTTTGCCATCGACTGCGCCAACTAGTGGCAGCATTCTGAATTATTACGCATTACATATGTATTATTATCATTAATTTAGGGAACTGAAGCTCGCTCATTATTATTATTACATTAATAATACAGTGGATCCCCGACTTAAAATGCTTGTCAGTGTAAAAATTTGACCCCAACATACATTGAAAAACTCGACTTACATCATTCATCCCGTATGCGTCCATCTGGCCTGAGCGTGCCTCAGCTGCCTTGCCTTCAGTTAGTGTGCCAATGTTTATAAGCCAGTGCGGTCGCTTCCACACATACATTCGGAACATTTTGTATTATCCCAGTGTTTTTAGTACTTTTAACTACTAAATAAGCCACCATGGTCCTTATGGAAGGGGATTCCCCTTCCAAAAAATAATACACCATCTCCCCTCCCATCACTGATCACCACATCTTCAATAAAAGTAAGTGTCATTTATTCTTCATTACACAATATATATTGTGCATGTATCCTTCTGTTTGTGTGTAGGAAAATGTATATTTCATGTGGTAAAAATATTTTTTTTTTTCATACTTTTGGGTGTCTTGAACGGATTAATTTGATTTCCATTATTTCTTATGGGGAAAATTAATTTGACTTATAATTTTGTTTTACAATGTGCTCTCTGGAACGGATTAATACTGTAAGTCGGAGGTCCACTGTAATAATACATGTGTAATAATAATAACAACAAAAGCTTCAGAACGCCACTGACTCAGTGCACGAGTATTTCTCTCATGCTTTGCTTACATTTTTTACAGTCATTTGGCCAAATTTCGTTTTTCTAAGCATGGGTCCTAAGAAAATAAGTGTTAAGGACAGTGCTGAGAAGAAAAAGAGGATAATTTCCATGAAATTAAAGCATGAAATCATAGATTAACCAGCAAAGTGTGCAGGTTGTGTGTTGAGGGGGAAGTAGGGGGAGCTGGCTCGTAACTCGGAGCAAAAATTCGACTGGTCAATGGCTCGTATCTCAAAAAAACTTGTACGTTGGGACCCTCTTAAGTCAAAGTTCCACTGTATTAAATAAAAATAAGCATGATTTTTGGAAAAAGTCATTTCACAAAAGTGATCTTTGTTATTACTGTCTCAGTCTTTGCTTGAATAGATTATACTTCATCAGCCTCTCAGTATCCTTAAAAAAAAATCAGATTCATAACTACAACATTCAATATCCTTTTACAATGTAATTCAATATTACTCCAAAAAATGTAATTTTCAATAACTCATGCTACAGTGTAAAATACATATCATATTTCTTATTGATTCTGATAATTCCTATTTTATACAGTGTACATTTACCACAGCAATACACATAAATATCCAAAATATCTCCTGGATAGCATCACACACCCTGCAGCACTGTATGGCCCTTGTGGTTTAGCGCTTCTTTTTGAATATAATAATAATAATCACACACCCTATTATGACAAGGCTAGAGCAACCATAGTATATAGGCAAGAGAGAGTATGGACAAAACAACCACCCGTATTTTGCATATACACAATCACTGTACAGTAACCACATATAAAAGAATGATGTATGTATTTTTATATATATATAAGAGAAACTTTTTTTTCTTTTTAGGTCACCCTGCCTCGGTGGGATATGGCCAGCTCGTTGAAAAAATATATATATAAAAACTCTGGAGATTTTCCAAAGAATATAAAAATCTACAAAGGCACTGATACCCCCAAGGTGTAATGAACATAGTCACTTCTTTTAAAACTCCTTATATAGTTTTTTTTTTTTTTTTTTTTTTGTAAAAGTTATGGAAAAGGCGACTCCAAAAAATTTAATAGCAAGTGGAAAGGTCTTCCAGCATGTGCTATTCAATTTTGGATGGACTCTCTCAACCACATTTACAAAAATTCACACTACATAATGGTGCTTCACAGGGGCAGTTACTGTAGAAGAAACTTGCATCAGAAATCCTTCATAAATAAACAGTGGTTTCAATCTTGCTTTTCTTCAGGTAGGCTGATACATAGCATCTGAGAAACATAAAAGGCCTTGTCTGAAAAAGAAGGATGATTTTTTTTAGAGTCCAATTTAAATTTTTTACCAAAGCAACTAAAGCACAGGCATACCACAGTTTAGAAGGCCTTTATAAGAATTCAGTACAGTATTACACAATGTCCTATTTCTATCAGTAATACTGTATATGCAATATACTATACATTTAGTGGATATTAATGATAGTGATACCAGGAAGCTGTGGATGAGGATGTACATACAGTTCAAGATATTTATACTGTACTGAAGAATGTTATGTGGAATTTATTACGTATGATCTGAGCTTCATATGGCTGCCATGAGTCTGGAATGCAGCTTACAGCATAAAACAAAGAGCACCAATATTATATATAGGGTAATTTAAAGCTGTACATACTGTAGAAGGAGAGAGGGCACAGACTTTATGAACCTTCAAGGGGAAAGATGCAATGACAGTAGTGAATGGCTCTTGATTCAAGGAAAGGAAGTTATCCTCCTCTTCCTTATGACTAACATTTCTCCCCTGAATATAATAGAAATTAAAAATATTTCAGCCAGACTACAAAATTTTATAGGCTTCCTAATTAGCATGCTTCAATTGATACATAACATTTTTAATGATGCACCTCCCATAAATAGCTTTGACAATTCTCAATTTTTGTTTTTCTTTAGCTTGGTGCAAGATCCCTAATTTAAAAGCTAACCATGGGATTTCATTTGTGTGGGGTATGGTTTGGCTGGTTGCCCAACAATGTCTGAGGTATATACACTACCACTACAAACTTCTACTACCAGCATTACCTTTTCCACTACTTCTCCACTTCTTCCTCTCTTTGTCCCATCCCTGTCCTCCTCTCCTATATATACTGGCTCCCTCACTCTTGTGTGTTATTGTGACTTGTGAATGGTGTAAGTTGGACCAAAACATCGTCATTATCTTCTCTCTCTCTCTCCCACGTGTGGGTTACTTGTGTATTGCTCCAGTCACAGTATTGTGTTTTTGTTCTTAAATGTCTGAGGTGCCTGGCCAGGCAGTTGAGCCTCACTCTCTCTGTATATGAGACATTTAACTAATGGTGTCAAACTATGATGGGGTCACAGTTAAGTGGCACACCAGAAGCTTGAGCCCATACCCTAGGGTATGACCCCATGCCCATCCTACTGGTTCAACAGTGCATCTTCAAGCAACAGCAAGATTTTATAGACAGATTCAAAACACAGTTGGTACTCAACAGTGTACAGCAGCAGGTACCACCACTGGTGACTTACCCAGCACTTTGGCTTGTGTCAGGGTACCCAGCCTCCTTCCCTGACATTTCAAGCCCTGATTTCCAGACCTGAACAAAATGTGTTTAAAGCTAAATGAATGATCACTATTGCAGGCAGTAATGAGCATCTGCTCACCTTGTGTCACCAGTTTTCAGAGGACCATCAGCACCACTGTGCCATAATGCAAGTGAAAAGATTTACAGTAGGAGGCAGTGATCACCATCATAAGCATTGTATGCAATGCTACTAAGTCACCACCATCACGGACAAATTCTTTCAAGCTGACACCAAAGTGTGTAAGAAGTGATGAGAGCATTATGATTAGCTGACAACAGAGTGCATTATATTGTGAATTTAGGTGTCCCTCATGACATATCAGATTATATGTTGGTACATAAGCACATAGTGGGGCAAGAAATCTTTTAAGACTACGAAGAGACTAGAATGTTCAAAAAAAAGGTTAGTGTGCATATGAATTTGATGTGAATAGCAGTGGGCCTCAAAGTGATGAATGCCTCTCTACCAGATGCAAGTGTAGCAGCTTATGTTATAAAGAGAAAGGCAGGTGGGAGGAGCTACTGCCAAGGGTCACACACACCAGGCCAGACATCACCATGGCAATTGTGCCAAGGTGCATGAACAAGATAACTGACATGCAGAACTATGGAGTGCTATACCTGTAGCACTCAAGGCCATGTTGTGAGGTACAGGAAGGGGTCTCAGCCTCCTACACTGAAAACAGTATCCACTGCAGTGTGGTGAAGAAGCATGAGTTGAGAATGGGCAATTGAAGCTGCTATGAACAGCCTCTCATATTAATGGTAGCTGTAAGTTACCCTGCTAAATCATCCTGACATTCAGTATTGACAGAGGCAGATGCAGGTGCTGAGGTGTGTGTGGCTGGTAAAGAACACTTGAGAATGCTGAGGATGTCAAACTTATTTACAGAATGCAGATTACCACCTGTAACACATTGCAAGAGGCAAAGTGGAAGTGCTTAGGCACAGCTCTGTCCTAAAGCTGGATGGAAGGATCACCAAGGACAGGGTTTATTTCATAGAGAAGGTACACACACTGTTCCTGTTGCTGAAGGCCTGCAAAGACCTGGGTCTTCTAAACCAGTGTTCCTAGGCCCACAATATCCATCTTGGGCCCCACAGAAGGGGCCAAAGGTGTGTACGAGTCACTACAGCTGACTGATTAGTTATTAATTAAAATGCCCACCAGAAGAGGACAGTGGAGAAAAAGAAAGTCAGCCCAGTTTGAAGACTACACATAATCATCAGTTATAATTGTGTAAATAACAAAAAAGGCACAATACCGTGACTGGAACGATACACAAATAACCCGCACATAAAAGAGAGAAGCTCACGACGACGTTTCAGTCCGACTTGGACCATTTACAAAGTCACACTAACCAGAAGTGGAGCAGGACGGCTATATATAGGCAGGAAGAGGTGGTGGTGGTAGTAGTAGTAGTAATAGTAGTAGTAGTAGTAGTAGTAGTACAAGAATGGTATATAATACCGACAAGATGAAATTAAGACACATGCGCAACACCCGGGCATCCCTATCGTAGACGTTTCGCCATCCAGCCAGCCACTGGATGGCGAAACGTCCACAACAAAGACAACCAGATGCCGCACACGTGTCTTAATTTCATCAGTGGTAGTAGTAGTAGTGGTAGAAGTGGGGAAAAAGGAGGACGAGCCAGTCAAATACAAAGGAAGGGGAGCACTGCAAGAGAGCTCCCACAGAGGGAGAGCAAGCGCACAGAGGTGCGTGAAAGGGGAAGTGGTGAAATAAATGAAGAAGGAAGAAACAGAAACACGAGACAGAAGAGAGAAAGACAACCCAGAGGAGAAAAAGGAAAGAGGAAAGGGGAAGAGGGAGAAGAAGAAAAAGAAAAAATGAGGAGTCAGGTTAAGTCACGGGTGTTCTGAAGTTTGGAGCATTTTATATCTCCTCCAAGTCAATCAGTTGGCAAGCATACTGTTGCTGATCTTGTCAACCTACAGAGGACATGACATTTGGGCTGGGTGTCCAGTGATGCTGGAAGTTCCTGACCAGGCAGTCATGCCTCTATTTACTGTAGAAATTTAACTAATGGTGTCAAATGCTGGCTATGTCAACTGCTTATTCTTCACCCAGATTTCAACACAGTTCAAAATTTGCTCAATAGATACTCCCTGTCCATACCCCTGTCTAATTCCTTTTAGTCAATATTTTTTTTTTTATCACACTGGCCGATTCCCACCAAGGCAGGGTGGCCCGAAAAAGAAAAACTTTCACCATCATTCACTCCATCACTGATGGTGAAAGTTTTATATTAACCATATAAGAGCTTTGAACTCATCTGAAACAAAATTGATTATATGGACAGTATTAAACAATATTTGTTGCAACTCCCTAGAAATCTAACCCATGCAAATTTATGGCTTCAACTGTACAGTTAAATTCTGAAATTTAATTTCCCAAAGTATACAGGTGCTGCTTGATTTATGATGGTGTTACATTCCGATGAACCAATTGTTAAATGAAAATATCATAAGAAGAATATGATTGATATGCTAAATAAATAAGTAAATAAATAACTACTGTCAGTGAACAAGTAAATAAACAAATAATTACTGTAACTAAATACCAGTATTGAAAAGTAAATAAATGAATACAAGTTTATCATATCAATTAATGTATAGTACTGCAGAGTGCCACTGTAAAGTCAAAATATCGTATGTTGAACCATCGTAAAGCAAGGAGCATCCGTAATTTGTTTTCTAACACTTCTTCCTGAATATTACTGGATAGTTCTCTTCCTCCTTTCTCCTCTACAGATACAACGTACTTACCCATAAACTTCATAAACCACTTTGACTTTTCTTCTCGGTAAATAGCAAAGTAATAGACAGGGATCCCTATGGATATGATACCAATGGCTACACCCAATTCAATGGGCCTCTGCACAATTGGAAGAACCACAAGGAAGAGACAGATGATGAAGAACAGGATGGGGAATCCAATCCATACCTGAGGGCATACAAATAGAAAAATTAGAACTGCTTACCTTCTGAAGTTTTCAACCTACGTGACAGGGTGGATAACTCACGTTAATGGCAGTAACTATATGAAACTATGTTTTTAGCATCCCATTAAACCCTGAGTGCACATAAAATCTATGGAATATCTGTATCTGAGGGCTGAGGAGGGGTTGTTGAGGTGGTTCGGACATGTGGAGAGAATGGAGCGAAACAGAATAACTTCAAGAGTGTATCAGTCTGTAGTGGAAGGAAGGCGGGGTAGGGGTCGGCCTAGGAAAGGTTGGAGGGAGGGGGTAAAGGAGGTTTTGTGTGCGAGGGGCTTGGACTTCCAGCAGGCATGCGTGAGCGTGTTTGATACGAGTGAATGGAGACAAATGGTTTTTAATACTTGACGTGCTGTTGGAGTGTGAGCAAAGTAACATTTATGAAGGGGTTCAGGGAAACCTGCAGGCCGGACTTGAGTCCTGGAGATGGGAAGTACAGTGCCTGCACTCTGAAGGAGGGGTGTTAATGTTGCAGTTTAAAAACTGTAGTGTAAAGCACCCTTCTGGCAAGACAGTGATGGAGTGAATGATGGTGAAAGTTTTTCTTTTTCGGGCCACCCTGCCTTGGTGGGAATCGGCCAGTGTGATAATAAAATAAATAAAATAAAAAATTTAAAAAGTACTTTTTTTTTTTCCTTCTACATATAAATTTTACTGGCTAAAAGATGTTAGCCTACCTCAGCTCATTTCAAATCCCAGCTCTATCTGAGGTATACTACCATCCCCCCCAGGATGCAACCCACAACAGTTGACTAACACCCAGGTCCCTACTTACTGCTAGGTAAACAGGGGCAGCAGGTGTAAGGAAACATGCCAAACATTTCCACCTGGCCGGGAATCGGACCACGGACACTCAGTATGTGAGTTAAATATGCTACAAACCAAGACACAGGAAACCTATAGAAACTGTTTTATTCTTAGTGTGAGCATACAGACATAGCCCCACTCCACAAAGGGGGCAGTAAAGCAATAGCAAAGAACTACAGACTGATAGCACTAACATCCCATATCATAAAAATCTTTGAAAGGGTCCTAAGAAGCAAGATTGCCACCCATCTAGATACCCATCAATTACACAACCCAGGGCAACATGGGTTTAGAGCAAGTCGCTCCTGTCTGTCTCGCAGAGCTGTATAGCCCTTGTGGCTTAGTGCGTCTTTTTGATTATGATAATAAAAATCGTGTCTGTCTCAGCTACTGGATCACTACAACAAGGTCCTAGATGCACTAGAAGACAAAAAGAATGCAGATGTAATATATACAGACTTTGCCAAAGCCTTCGACAAGTGTGACTATGGTGTAATAGCGCACAAAATGCGTGCTAAAGGAATAACAGGAAATGTTGGTAGATGGATCTATAATTTCCTCACAAACAGAACACAAAGAGTAGTAGTCAACAGAGTAAAGTCTGAGGCAGCTACGGTGAAAAGCTCTGTTCCACAAGGCACAGTACTAGCTCCCATCTTGTTTCTCATCCTCATATCTGACAGACAAGGATGTCAGCCACAGCACCATGTCTTCCTTTGCAGATGACACTCGAATCTGCATGACAGTGTCATCCATTGCAGACACTGCAAGGCTCCAGGCAGACATCAACCAAATCTTTCAGTGGGCTGCAGAAAACAATATGAAGTTCAACGATGAGAAATTTCAAATACTCCAATATGGTAAACATGAGGAAATTAAAACGTCATCAGAGTACAAAACAAATTCCTTCCACAAAATAGAGCAAAAAACCAACGTCAAAGACCTGGGAGTGATCATGTCGGAGGATCTCGCCTTCAAGGACCATAACATTGTATCAATCGCATCTGCTAGAAAAATGACAGGATGGATAATGAGAACCTTCAAAACTAGGGATACTAAGCCCATGATGACACTCTTCAGGTCGCTAGTTCTATCTAGGCTGGAATATTGCTGCACATTAACAGCACCTTTCAAGGCAGGTGAAATTTCTGACCCAGAAAATGTACAGAGAACCTTCACGGCGCGCATAACGGAGATAAAACACCTCAATTACTGGGAGTGCTTGAATTTCCTGAACCTGTACTCCCTGGAATGCAGGCGGGAGAGATACATGATTATATACACCTGGAAAATCCTAGAGGGACTAGTACCGAACTTGCACACGAAAATCAGTCACAATGAAAGCAAAAGACTCGGCAGACGATGCAACATCCCCCCAATGAAAAGCAGGGGTGTCACTAGCACGTTAGAGAGACAATACAATAAGTGTCAGGGGCCCGAGACTGTTCAACTGCCTCCCAGCATACATAAGGGGGATTACCAATAGACCCCTGGCTGTCTTCAAGCATGCACTGGACATACACCTAAAGTCGGTACCTGACCAGCCGGGCTGTGGCTCGTACGTTGGATTGCGTGCAGCCAGCAGTAACAGCCTGGTTGATCAGGCTCTGATCCACCAGGCGGCCTGGTCATAGACCGGGCCGCGGGGGCGTTGACCCCTGGAACTCTCTCCAGGTAAACTACCATAGATATGGTATAGCACATTTATGTAAAAGACATGGGAACAAAATAAGTAATGTATGGTTTTCTTCCCTCAGATGTCCACCATCTCTGGCTCACAATTCTTAGCAGCGCAGTAGAACCTCTGGTCACGAATGCTTCTGAACATGAACAAATCAGTTTGTGACTAAAATATTTGCCAAATTTTTGCATCTGGTCATGAACAAGTAATTGGGTGCCGAACAAACACAGCCATGCCAATTTTTCACATTCCGTGCCATCTTTTCGCACTCGTCAATTTTCTCCATTTCCTGTTGCTTGTGTACACCTAACAAAGACCCTCACCTTGTAGTCAGTGTCAGCCAGACGTGCGTTCATTCACTGTGAACTCCTTGTGTTGTATTTCATTTGCTTTTGAATTCATTTTGTTTTCTTGGTTGTTTATGGTACTTTTTTCTCTGTTAATTAAGGTTTTTTCTCTATTAAACTGTGCATTGTTTTGTATAATTAACCCTTTGACTGTTTCAGTCGTATATATACATCTCACGAGCCAATGTGTTTGACGTATATATACTCAAAAATTCTAACGGCTTCAAATCGAGCGGGAGAAAGCTGGTAGGCCCACATGTGAGAGAATGAGTCTGTGTGGTCAGTGTGCACTGTATAAAAGAATCCTGCAGTATGAAGTGCACAATGAGAAAAAAAAAAACTACAAACGTGTTTTTGGATTAAAACACCAACTTTGAGGTGTACTTTCGTATAGTATTTATGGTTGTATTCTCGTTTTCTTGATCTCATTTGATAGAATGGAAAACATACTGCAGAAATAGAGAGGATTTTGATTGGATTTACTATGAAAAGGACCTTGAAATGGAGCTCAAAGTAGGGGAAACGTTTGATTTCTGCAGATGTTCAAGAGTAAACAAATGACGTCATTGTCTAATAAATGCCCAACTAGCCATTCTAAAATGCAGTCATGAATGGGTTGACATTATTTATACATTACACTATTGCAGCAGTCTGCATAACAGTAAATCTTTTTATTTTTTGTTTGAAAAAAATTCAAAACAGACAGCAAGAGTAATATCAGATGGGCCTGGAGACATAACTAATGAACAAAGAAAATGTTATTTTAGAGCCAAGAATGTCTGCATTGTTCATTCTGGACCCTATTTTGAAACTGGCATATTTTTTAACTTGCATGAAATTGGCCAAATTGCTAATTTCTGACCACTTTATTGGGTAGTTGAAATTGGTAAATGGGCAGTTTCTTGTACTAAATCGATAGAAGAAATAGAGTTCTAAAGAAGTAGCTACGAGCTTGGTCAACTGGAACAATGGAATTAGTCGAAAATAGGGCTCAAATTGGGCGAAATTGCCGATTCGTAAATATCGCCGAGGTTGCTAATTTCCTGAGAGTGTAATTCCATAAGTTTTCCATTAAATTTCATGCTTCTGGTGTCATTACGAACGGGAAAAGATTGTCTATCATTTCATAAGAAAAATTTTTTTTTTTTTTTCAAACATTTTGCGACACCAGGAGACACCTCAGGATTTGGGGTTGCGACAGTCAAAGGGGTTAAGGAATTTTCAAACTTTGATTATTTTTTCTGTGATAAAAAAAAAAATATTTATAGTGAATGATTCGTAGGGGTTCAGAATGGTCTCGTGCAATGTTAGTTTTCTCTGTTGTTCAAGGATTTCTCAGTGTTATTCATGGTTTTTATATTTAGTTTACTATTATTGTGCATTCTATGGTATAATTAACTATTTTTGTGCTTAAAATCTTAAAAAAAAATAATATTTACATATAGTTTGTATGGGTCTAGAATGGATTAATCTTATTTACATACAATCCAATGGGGAAATTAGATTCGGGTCGCAACTTAAGTTTTGGAACAAATTATGGTCATGACCAGAGGTTCCACTGTACCTTTTTTACAACCTAATGTCTCCCCCCCCCCCAAAAAAAAAAAGGTATTTTGAGGTGTCTGTCAAGACAAAAAATGTTATTCATAGAGGCAAAGAAGGGAATGTATGAGAGTATTGTGGTACCAATATTCTTATCTGGGTGTAAAGCATGGGTTGTAAATGCTGCAGCGAGGAGGAGGCTGGAGGCAGTGGAGATGTCGTGTCCAAAGGCAATGTGTGGTGTAAATATTATGCAGAGAATTCGTACTGTAGAAATTAGGTGGTGGTGTGGAGTTGCAAAAAGTATTATTCAGAGGGCTGAAGAGGGGTTATTGAAGTGATTTGGTCATTTAGAGAGGATGAAGCAAAATAGAATGACTCAGAGTGCATAAATCAGTATTGGAGGGGAGGAGGGGGTAGGGGTAGTCCTTAGAAATGATGGAGGGATGGGGTAAAGGAGGTTTTGTGTGCAAGGGGCCTGGACATGTAGCAGGTATATGTGAGAGTGTTAGATAGGAGTGAATAGAGGCAAATAGTTTTTGGGACTTGATGAGCTGTTGGAGTGTTAGCAGGGTAATATGTGAAGGGATTCAGGGAAACCGGTTAGCTGAACTTGAGTCCTAGAGGTGGGAAGTACAATTCCTGCACTTTAAAGGAGGGGTTTGAGATATTGGCTGTTTGGAGTGACATCTAAACTGTCATATCTGGGAACCTCTGCAAAGACAGTGACTATGTGTGAAAGATGGTGAAAGTGTTTCTTTTTTTGGGGGGTCACCCTGCCTCAGTGGGAGACAGCCGGCATAATGAAAAAAAAATCGTTATACATTTTGGTATGTGAAGTTCCTATGCATTAAATATTGAAAAATTCATAAAGCAATAGTGCAAACTGGGAAAATCCTTTAAAAAATATCAAAATTATCAATAAAAACTGTTAAAAGTTGCAAATAGCATACGTGACTTACCTTTATAGGTCTGTGTCGATTGGGTTCCTTGATTCGCAGCCAAAGCAGCGCCGCAATGGACATAAGTATAAACAATGCCTCGGTGAATGAGATATAGTTAATAAGAGCTTGCATATCAGAGGTAATGAGCATGAATACTGTCATTATACCCTGCAGAAGTAAACAAAAAGATTTAATGCAGTTACTGAACATATACAGTATAAAAGTAATGACAGTTGCTAACAAAAGATATACAGTGGACCCCCGCATAACGGACGCCTTGCATAGTGGACAATCCGCATAGCGGACGCTTTGTTCGCTAAAATTTTGCCCCGCATAGTGGACAAAAACCCGCTCAGCGGCCTTCGTCCGAGACGCGTCCAATGTGCGGCCTGAGCCACGCTCACATGTTCCGCGGGTGGCATTGTTTACCAGCCAGCCTCCGCGGTAACATCCAAGCATACAATCGGAACATTTTGTATTATTACAGTGTTTTTGGTGATTTTTTTCTGGAAAATAAGTGACCATGGGCCCCAAGAAAGCTTCTAGTGCCAACCCTACAGCAATAAGGGTGAGAATTACTATGGAGATGAAGAAAAAGATCATTGATAAGTATGAAAGTGGAGTGCGTGTCTCCGAGCTGGCCAGGTTGTATAATAAACCCCAATCAACCATTGCTACTATTGGTGGTACAGCTGCTGCTGCTGCTGTACCACCGTCAGCTGCTGCTGCACTGTCAGCTGCTGCTGCTGTACCACCGTCAGCTGCTGCTGCTGCTGTAGTACCGTCTGCTGCTGCTGTAGCATCGTCTGCTGCTGCTGTAGCATCGTCTGCTGCTGCTGCTGCTGCTGTAGCATCATCTGCTGCTGCTGTAACATCGTCAGTTGCTGCTGTAGCATCGTCTGCTGCTGCTGTAGCATCGTCTGTTGTTGCTGTAGCATCGTCTGTTGCTGCTGTACCACCATCAGCTGCTGCTGCTGCTGTACCACCGTTGTTGGTGTGGCTTATTGAGAATACCAAGAAACAATTAACCCCAGAGGGTTAGCTACCCAGGATAACCCAAGAAAGTCAGTGTCATCGAAGACTGTCTAACTTATTTCCATTGGAGTCCTTAATCTTGTCTCCCAGGATGCAACCCACACCAGTTGACTAACACCCAGGTGAACAGGGAAAATGCCTGGAACTAGTGCTCATATTGGTGAATTTAGAGCCAGCAAAGGTTGGTTTGAGAGATTTAAGAATCGTAGTGGCATACACAGTGTGATAAGGCCTGTTCTGGAAGAAAATACCAAACAGGACCTACAGTACTCAGGAGGAAAAGGCACTCCCAGGACACAGTGTCTCATCAGTCATTGCTGCATCTTCAATAAAGGTGTCATTTATTCTTCATTTAGTAGAGTAGTACATGCACAATATATATTGAGCATGTACTACTCTATTATTGTGCATGTATCCTTCTCTTTGTGTGTAGGAAAATGTATATTTCATGTGGTAAAAATTTTTTTTTCATACTTTTGGGTGTCTTGCACGGATTAATTTGATTTCCATTATTTCTTATGGGGAAAATTCATTCGCATAGCGAACATTTCGCATAACAGCCAGCCCTCTTGCACGGATTAAGGTCGCTATGCGGGGGTCCACTGTATCAGCATCAGTACAGCAAGATAAATGTGGTTGGATTTTTTTTGTCTATCTTAAGACACAGTATCTTAATAAAAATAAAATTATTATATATTTAATCTTTAAAAAAGATATCTAGGATGCACTAGGTATAGCTAAATTTTAAATGAAATTTAGTGCAGCCTTTATAATGGTTAGCACCAGTTCTCCAATGTAGAACAACCATTACAGTATGGTGATGTTGCAGTTCCAAACTATGATGTCAACACACCTCTAGCAAGAGTGATTGAACGAGTGATGGTGACAGTATTTCCTCTTTTTCAGGCCACCCTACCTTGGTGGGAGATGGCTGATGTGTTGAAAAAATATCACCTAATGTTATGCTGTATAATTATTATAACCAGTTTTATCAGTAAGTAGAATTGTTTAAATAGTAGCTGCTTATTTTGATGGTTTTTATTACAAAAATTATGCTTAAACACATCATGCTGATACTGCTGAAAGTACAAAGATTTCATGGCAAAATATGCTTTATTTTGTGCCTGCCAAAGTTTTGTTGTATATAAACTACATTATTTGTACCACAAAAAAAAAAAAATGTATTGTATTATATACTAACCAAAAATACCAGAGACGGGACTGGCGTGTAATTTTTTATATTAATAAGTGCGAGGATTTGAGGAAGGTGACCTTGTCGAGCACCCACGAAGAACAGCCGTGAAGAGGCAAAGATCCCACCATTTAAACTTCCAAATGTTGAACATGCCACAAAGAAAGGCATTGTCCAGGTCATAACACCCAACATACGATTACCAAAGGACTGAAAAGAAAAGATTCATACCCATGTTACTTTTCCTTTTTTTTAGTCACTAAACCTCTCAGTATGATATGGGTTTAATCAGCTTGTTTAATCAAGGGAGAAAAATTGCTTATGATAATTGTCAGTATTCTGTGTGAATTCTGCCTGTTAAACGATAGCCAACATTACAATCCCTGCAACGAAGAAAAAGAAAAAATATCGTATATTACTAGTTCTGTAAGTGATTAGTTGGCTTGAGAAACTGGGTGAACTCATTGGGACAATATATAATAGTTAAACAAACGAACTGTGATAATATCTCCTGGTTGAGAAAACGGTTGCAAATAGAGGGGAAAAGTTTGCAACCAGTAAATCTGGTTGTTGAAAAAGTGGGAGCAGGTCATAAGCAGAGGAAAGGTCGTAGGTTTCTTTTATTTACAATTGTTACACAAGTGTTTGTCAAGCAAGGGACCACTATATGCAAAAAACACTTTAAGACTATGTACTTAATGTACACAATATCATATAAGTTAAAGTGAAAAATATGAAACAGTGGTTACATAGGCACATTTAGAGAACTGTCAAATTTTGTGGTTTATGGCTTTGTGACCTTTCATCAGCAAATGGAAGAAATATGGGTACAGTATAATAAGGAAATGCTTCAAGAGGAAACTAAACAGTCTCCTGAAAGATGTGATGGATCAGCCAGGTTGTATGGCTATGTAGGTCTTTGGACGATGAGCAGCAACAGCTTCGTTGGTCAGGGAAGCCTTGTCTTTTGGTAAGAGCAGAAATGGTAAACACTTTGGAGAAAATTTTTATAAAGTATATTTCCATCTAAATAAGACATTTTCAAGTCAATACAAGGAACTTGAAAGTATGACATATATACACAGAAAGAGGGTGAAAAGACACAATACAGCACCACATAACACCTATAACACCAGTGAGGTGCAAGGGTCTTTGCATCACCAGCAGGAGTTACTTGTACCTAGCACTGTTTTTTCCTCTGTAAAATAAGTCTGGCAAGTGGACCTGCAACAATAGATGTTCCCAGATTGATGGTATTGCTGGCTTGAATGTAGACACCATGCTAGTCAATAAAGGGTGCTTCACCTCATATGATATGGATTACAATATTTTGTGAATGATTTTGCATTATGCTCCTACTCTTAATTTTAAAAACTTAAAAGCAATTATTACAGACCCAAAAGAATCTCATATTGTGGATTATAGCTGGTTAAGAGTAAGAGGGTAAAACAGAGAAAGGTGGGAATAACAAAGAGAGATGGGGACTGAAAGGGGTGGTAAAATATGTTTCAGTTTTTTCACAATTGACAATTTTAAATAAGGCCTTGCATATGCCACACATACCATTCAATGAAAGTTAGAGACAGACAATATATCAAGATTTATAGCATATTTAAAGTTTACTGAAATGGACAGATGCAGAATTATCAGTCTGTGGAAATTAGCCTAAATTATGTTTTTATATTATTTGAAAAAAAAAAAATAGCAAAGAAAATTTTGTATATATATTAGTCAGTGCTGTACTGAGAATAAGATCTGACATAAATGATACATTAAAATTTAAAGAGAGGTGGTGAGTGTAATTTTGTTATCAAGATTTGCAATTACTATTAAAATTTCTTAGATTTATAAAAGAAAGATATGTAAGACGGGGTCACATTAAACAAATAAGTAACAAACTGAGTTTAAAGGATTGACAAATTCTTTATTATTACAAATTAATTCATTTTTTTTTAACATGGGATACGTTAGTGAAAAGAATATAAATCGTCATATCTGACATAAATACTTTTAGAGGCTTGAGTAGTAATAGAAGATTGCAAAGCTATAAAGCTAGGATTATAGAAAAAGTAGAGAAAATAAAATAAGAAAAATTATTTCTTTTTTTTACTGCTCTCTAAGAAGGATACAAGGTAGCTGGGAAAATAAATAAATAGTTATCTGTACTACAGAGATGAGAATATAGCATAAAGGAAATGTCTCCAGCCCTGCTAAATAATAAGCAGATGATGATACAGCATATATATTACTAAATGTAAAAAGAAGAAAAACTACATGAAAGCGTTTCTTCTTTTCCGAGTCACCTGCTCAGCGGGAGTATGGCCGTGTGTGAAAAAAAGGCATATAGATGTAGACCTTCACTGCCGCTGGACAATGGGAGGAGAGAGAGAGAGAGAGAGAGAAAATTAATGTAGAAGCATTATAAAATACTACATAGACTCACACACAGCTACAGCAACTAGAAGACAGAATCTCACTCCGTGTGAGAACAGCAAGGTAGGCCACATTTGCCAGAAAGTAAACTATAGTCACAAGTGGCATCGAGATCATAATGGCCCGTGGTAGGTTTCTGAAAAAAGAAGGGGTCATTATATTTAGATTTATGCAAATTACAAAAATATAAGTTGCTGCATGGGTTTACCTGTTGGGCATTTCTGGCAGGAAGTCGCATTAAAACTTTAGAAATAGAATTTTTTCTGGAAAATCTACAAAAGCATGCAGACTGACCTAGATCAAACGTAGCATTAAGGCACAATATCAGGCTATTAAGAGAATTAAGGGAGAAAAAGATAATGAGAAATCAAAACTTGCCCAATGCCTTTTCAGAAAGAAGTTGAATGAATAATCAGGCAAAAAGTAATTAACATATAATCGAGTCACGAAAATTGTGGATAATTCTTCTACCCCTCTCAATAGACATGTTATCTTTAAAGGAAATTTGGTATTCAGTATCATATAAAAGCTTAATAGAACTGAGTACTGAGTATTAAAGCAGTCTTTAACAGTCATCGATGAGACCAGTGCTTATTCCTCTTACAGCCTTACACTTGTATACCTCGTGTTATGGTTAAGGTTATTACTGTGTATACCCATTAATATTTTCTCAGATGACTTAGATAACACTGATAAATAAGTTACTCTTGTGATCATTTACAGTATTATCATATATTTATTCTGATAAATTTTCTTTCTCTTTACACAGTTGTATTTGCAGGTTAAAAACTGTTCACTATACAGCCAGCAGTAACAGCCTGGTTGATCAGGCTCTGATCCACCAGGAGGCCTGGTCACAGACTGGGCCACAGGGGCATTGACCCCCAGAACTCTCTCCAGGTAAACTATACCTCAGCTCATTTCAAAGACCCAGTCCAAGGCACACTACCACTTCCAGGATGCAGCCCACAACAGGTAACTAATACCTGCTTACCTATTTACTGCCCCGTGAACAGTGGAAGAAAGCATAACAGTTCAACTAACTGTGAAAATCGAATATTTCCTCTGTAAGTTTTTAGGAAAGAAAAAGTGCATATGGAACAATTAATAATTTTGTTTACTTAATTTTCTGTTGGAAGGGACAGGTTTACAAATAATGATTAAATTTAAAAATATTTTACAAAAGAATCAAAAAGCTGAAAAGGTCGATAGGTTTACGGAAACAACATAAGGGTTTAAAAACAACCAGCCTGAGAAGAGTTGTGCGGGGATGGGGGGGATGGGATGCATGGAGTGGCGTAAGAATGGGCATATCCCTCTTGACAGCCTTGTCCCAGCTTCCACTGACCACAGTGTTACAGGCTGACGCTCACTTTTACTCGGGCCAGATTGGTTAATGCTATACTGCTTGACACGTGTCATACGAGTAGGCAATCATATAATGAAAGCATCAACAGCAGCAACTGTCTGGATATAATATATCAACAGCATTTCCAGTAGGTTGTAGATGGTGTTTAACACCAACACTAATGAGAATAAGACGTAAATGCAGTGTCTGGATTTATTAAAGAGGCATATTTGCCTGTCAGGACCTTCATCAAGTGGCACAGCAAGGAAGTGGGTTAGCAGGGGGAAGAAATCACTTCCCTGACCACATTCAGTGCCATTTTGTCCTTCCTTTTTAGCTGTATTGTAAAATTATTTGTTATTTCAATTATATACTAGCATGTTTGCTTATTTTAAAATCATCATTTAAGCAATCTAATACATAAAATGCAATTAACGTTTTTCTACATGGAATAGATGGCATTTTTTTTTTTTGTGCATGCTCAGTCTTTTCTCTTAACATTAGAACCTGTCTTCATCAATCCAATGCATGCAGAGAATCAAATTTTATGGAGTAGTATTTATAAAGCATCACGAGTCAGGTGCTGCAGCCAAGGATGGGGTAAGTAATGGTTGTGTCTGGTTTAAGTAAGATGAATCTAATGAGAATATCTGAAATCAAAACTGCCAGTATTCTGTGTGATGGGTTTGGCAAATGCAACAAGAAAAGATTCTGGGGTGCTGATCAGTTTCTCAGATGACTAATTGGCCATCTTAGAACTTCAAGAGATGGCTGTGGGAGTTTCATTGAAGAGTGTAGCTGTTGTTTAAATACTATGACATGCATCATCTCAAGCTTTCTTGAAGTCTTCCCCACATAAGATCTGTAGTATCCCCATCACGCTTCATTAACAATTCTAGGAGAAAAGCCAAGAAAATCATCTAAATGACAAGATGGTCACCAGAGTATTTTGGGTGCCTCTAGCCTTTTTGCCATATCAGAGGGATAATCCACCCTGTATTAATCTTTTCAAACAAAAATACAAAAAAAAAAAATCGATTTAACAGATTTCGGATTTGATGAATAATTTGTTGTCTGGACAAAGTGCAGAAACAATGGGCAAAGTTAGTTACATCCAGTACTGTCCATCACTTGTCACGATTCTCTCAAAAATGCTCTCTCATACCATTAATAATAATAAAGAAGTATAAATTCATAATGTAATATATTACCACTAGTTCTTTCAAGAATGTTTTATAATTTTTTTTTTTTTTGTCTTGTAAACAAGAGAATTTTTTTTTGTGCTGGATGGGACAAGCTGTGAAAGATATGTCGGCCAGCAGCAACAGCCTGGTTGACCAGGTGAGCACCAGACTGCCTAGGCTAGAGCCTAGTCGCACTATACTGAAGGTAAACGTTAAGGGGTCTCTTATAAATGGTTGCTTAAAATTTTTTTAAATTTCTTTTTCGTCTTCCAATGTTTGTTTATAATGTGAGAACACCTTGTTTTGTTCCCACCTGACTAAGCTTTTAGAATAGTGATAAGATGACAAGTAAATCTTACAAACTAACTACTTACACTCTTATTACTTTAGTTCTTAGTAATAAAGGCAGAATTACTGACAATATGTTAGGTAAAAGGACACCTAACAAATGCAAAACATTACGACATTTACTGTCATAATATTTTGCTCTCCAAGAGCTCTGTCAAGCCATTATGTTTGACAAAGTTCCTGGAGAAAGAAATGTTGCCACAATAAACTTTCACATTAGATGCACATATGTCCTTTTACCAAACTGTAGTTCTTATTTATGTACTATAGTACTTCTTTTCCAATTAGAGAACCCTATTCTAAGATCAAGTCACAGAGGAGTAAAGATCCCCAAGATAATTAACAGATAGCTGATATACCATATATACATAGAAAAAGAATTTTAAAAATGAATATGAAGCTGTTGAAAGCTACAGACAAACCAATTTTTGTATGCATGCTAAGCTTAAAGAATGCTACTAAATTATATCACTTGTGAATGCCTATGCTTAAAGCAACATTCATCTTACTGTATTTCATTAACTTAACATGCTGTAACTACTTGTGCTACAAACTAAAGTTAGCTTTGCTATACTTTATAAATTTAACATGCTATAACTTTACCTGTGGTACAAACCATAGGTAATCTATTTCTTATTCTCATATCCAACATAGCACTGTATCATCCTTTGTGACAGTACTAAAATTTGTATGAGAGCAGCATCCATTGAGGAAACTACAAATCTCAAAGTTGATCCTCCTTATATTTGTAGTGGAAAGAAAGAGGCTCGGAAGATAATACAGAATACCCCAACGAAAAGCTGGTGAGAAATGAATATACACTAAGAGAACTCAGTAAGTGTAAAGGAACCACGTATTTTCAACACCCTCCCTTCACACATAAGGGAAATTACCAACAGGCCCCTAGCTGTCATAAAGAGAGCTGGATAAGTTCAAGGGAGAGTTCTTGATCAGGTAGGATGAGGTACCTACATTGGACTGAATGCAGCTAGCACCAACAGCCTGGTTGATCAAGCCATCAACCAGGAGACCTGGTCTGGGACAGAGAGGCAGTGACCTCCCATATTCGTGTTCGGTTAATCTTCAAACAAACACTTTTAATTTCACAAGGTACAGTACATAGTTTTATAAGACTGAATGAAAATTGCAAGTACCAAGTCCTGTATCATGCAAACTTAACATGCTGTACCTTTACCTCTGCTACAAACTACAGATAGCTTACTGTATCAAGCAAACTTAAGACACTGTCAGTTTACCTGTATGGATTTTTCAGCTCCTCCACAACAAAGTTCAAGTAGTTCCTGAAAAAGAACGATTCTTTGAATTGAAAAATTCCATTTAAGAACATAAGAAAGAATGAACACTGCAACAGGCCTACTGACCCATGCAGAGCAGGTCCATGTCCCCCCCATATTAGACCAATGATCCCCCCCCCCCCCCGGATTAGCCCAATGACCCACCCAGTCTGGTCATCTCCACTCAAGGATGGAGCACTGCACCAGACCCAGCAGCACAAGCTAGTGAGGTCCAACTCACACCCATCCACACCCACTCATGTATTTATCTAACCTATTTTTAAAACTACACGTTTTAGCCTGAATAACTGTACTTGGGAGTTTGTTCCACTCATCCACAACTCGATTACCACAACAGTGCTTTCCTATATCCTTCCTGAATCTGAATTTTTCCAACTTGAAACCATTGCTGCGAGTCCTGTATTGGCTGGAAATTTTCAGCACGCTATTTAAATCCCCTTTATTTATTCCTGTTTTCCATTTATACACCTCGATCATATCCCCCATAATTCTACGCCTTTCGAGAGAGTGCAGATTTAGGGCCCTCAGTCTATCCTTATAGGGAAGATTTCTGATACATGGGATCATCTTTGCCATCCTCCTCTGTACGTTTTCCAGAGCATTTATATCCATTTTGTAATACGGTGACCAGAACTGTGCAGCATAGTCTAATCAAGGATATATAGAGTTGAAGAACAACCTGAGGACTTCTATTATTTATACTTCTAGATATGAAGCCAAGAATTCTGTTAGCTTTATTGCAAACACTAATGCACTGTTGTCTTGGTTTTAGATTACTGCTAACCAGAACTCCTAAATCCTTTTTGCAGTCAGTAGTATGAAGATCTACATTATTTAGTTTATATGTGGCATGGTTATTTAACTGTCCAACATTTAGAACTTTGCATTTGTCAATATTAAACTGCATCTGCCACTTCTCTGACCATTGCATCAGTCTATTCAAATCATCCTGGAGTGCTCTAGTGTCCTCATTAGAATGAATTGACGGCCTATTTTGGCGTCATCAGATCCTATACAACGTGTTTTCAATATATAAGGGAATTAATAATGTAAAACAAAGTGATAAGATCTTATAATGAAAGTGACTTAATATTTTGTAGTTCTGGAGGTGAGAAGTAAAATTCCTGCACTCTGAATGAGGGTCATTTAAATTCTGATGTCTGCACAGCTGTAAGACAGCTATTGAATGCTTCTTCAGCATTCTTGCTTAAAAAAATCAGGCTGGGGAAAATAAAGTAAATTGAAGATAAAGAAAAGAAAATGTGATATGCAATGTCAATATGGATAAGAATCCTGAAAACTTACTGTCAGTGAATATCAGTGGTAAAATATACCACCAGCATGTGAACAAGACAATATGTAGTTTCTGGCATTTACAGAGAAGATGTTTACTCCACCAAGGACTTCACCAATCCATGGCAGACTGATAAGAATGGTATACAATACCGACAAGATGAAATTAAGACACATGTGCAACATCTGGGTATCTTTATTGTAGACGTTTCGCCATCCAGTTGCTTTATCAATACAAATTCCAGGACATAACTTGAAGACAGTAGAACCATGTACAGAAGATGAGGTAATCAGTCCCTCAACCTTGGAGTAGGTGCAAAGAGCAGCGTAGTCGTGGAGATTCTCCACGGCTACGCTGCTCTTTGCACCCTACTCCAAGGTTGAGGGACTGATTACTTCATCTTCTGTACATAGTTCTACTGTCTTCAAGTTATGTCCTGGAATTTGTATTGATAAAGCAACTGGATGGCGAAACGTCTACAATAAAGATACCCAGATGTTGCACATGTGTCTTAATTTCATCAAAGACTGACAAGTCTCTTGTGGACAAAACATCTTGGTAAATGCCATAAACTGCATACTGCATCTTATTCACATACTCAAACGAAAATCAAAGGCATTTACCACCCAGCAAAGGAGAATAGCCCCTGGTAGAAAGCTGTGGCAAAGGCAGCAAGGTCCCAGTTGGTGTTGTCGAAGGGTTTCTGATAGTTCTCCAGGTTGCCAGTAGCCAGGTGGTAGCCACCAGCCACAATAATAATGACGAGGGCCAACACCTTGGCTGCTGTGAAAACGTCCTGTACTTTGGTCGCCCACTTTACATTGGTGCAGTTCACCCACGTTAAGAAAACTGAAAAGATAATGTAAATTTTTAGATATGATCAGTGAAGCTGTCTTTTTTTGTTTTATATGACAGAGTTAAGTCATGAAAAGACCTACAATAGTTATTAAAGAAACTGACTATGTTGGACCCAACCTCTCATTCTTCAGATCATCCTGATTAACCCCCATGAATATTCCTCTGGTGCTGTATGACCTTTGTGGGTTTAGCACTTCCATGAATAAAATAAAATGTTACATATTAATTTCTATGTTACGAATCCATAAAATTAGTTGTTAGTAGTTAACTACTGCCCACATACCCATCCTGTGGGCAGTAGTCAAAAGATTACAGAGGTACATAATGGGTCCAGGGACTGGGCCCCACACAGCACAAAATCATTTCATAAGCATACAAAAAAATAGTGTGTTCCGAGGTTTACCACAAGGTTGGTCCCGGAACAACTAAGCTGGTTCTGGAACAACTGGGCTGATCCTGGAACTAAAAGACCTAGGACAAGAAGGTCAAATAGACCTTGTTTGACAAGGGAAGATGGAACAAAATGTACAAGAAAAAAATTCTTTCAGTATGAGGGTAATAAGCAAATGGAAGGCCGATTCCTGAAATGGAACTTGAAAGTCAACAAAGCAATACCTGAGGCCTCCACAGTAAAAAAAAGAAATATATTTGTTCCTCAAAGCAGTATTCACACCCTCTTTCCTTTTTTCTCTTATTCTTAAATCCTGCACAAAAGCAAGAGCTTCACGGCAGATACTTTAAATTGTATGAATGTCATCTAATGAGGTAAACAAATGCCAATAAAGGAGAACTATGGAGAAATACTAAAGAAATAAGGAGTGTGAGCCACTGGAAACAATATCTGTTATTGGTTGTGGGATCATTTCCTCCACAGCCCGGTATCAGACTAGATCTCTTAAACGGAAAAGGAAATAATACAAGACTAAGAACTATTTGGCAACAGGAGAGAAAAGATATGATGAATGTAAGTTGAAGTTTTAAAATTTATTAGTCATCTTATGCATTCAAGAGAGAGAGAAAAGACAAGCAATCTTGCCAGTCGGAAAAAACGTAGCAGTGTTTGTTTCGAGGTTACACGACAAAAAAAAAAAAAAAAAAAAAAAAAAAAAAAAAAAAAAAAAAAGAGAGATCTTGCCAGAGTGAAAAACGTTTAATAGCTTCTGTTTCAAGCTTAAATGACAGGACTGCAACACATCCTTGGATGGTTGCCATCTACCAACCTACTACAACAGGCAAGCCTTTGGCACTGAAACGATGACTAGAAACAAGGTCCCATTAACTACGGTGCCCTGATACCAACTGAAGGGCTCACAATCTAAGGAATTGCAGCTATCCTCTCATTCCTTGAACCAAGCCTGGTTACCTATTCCCCAGGCGCTGTATTATCCCTCATGAATGTAATGTAAGAAGGCGAAAACATGAAGCCACGGTTACTGCAAGGCTTCCAAGCAACCAAACTATAACTGACAAGTAGGAAGGGCTCCTCCTTGAGACTCTCTGATCGCTGGTTCTAACCCCACCCGTGATATGGTTTGTTTGCAATCGTGTCATTACGATTTCGTGAGTCATTAAACCTTTCAACATGAGGGTAAATGTGCCTTGATGCTGGTGAGGTAGTCTCCATTCAAGGAATCTGAACTATTCTCCTTTCTTTTGGATCAAGGATGATTACCCCTCATTTCCCAGAAGCCATATGACCCCTATGGGTTTAGTGCTTCCCCTAAGTATAGCAATACTTACACAGTCGAGGTGGTTTATTTATATAAAGAGGTAACCAGTGTAGGAGTTTAAACGCAAGATTCGATCCTGGGTCCTGTAATACCCTAGCAGCTAGGCATGATGAATGAGAGTGAAGCAAGTGTCAAACATGAAGTAGAATGCATGAATCTCATGCAACCAACCGAGATAATCAGGTAAGCAAAGGTGCGTGTGCGTGAGAGAGAGAGAGAGAGAGAGAGAGAGAGAGAGAGAGAGAGAGAGAGAGAGAGAGAGAGAGAGAGAGAGAGAGAGAGACAGACAGACAGACAGACAGACAGACAGACAGACAGACAGAGAGAGAGAGAGACAGACAGACAGACAAAAGGGATGGAGCAGAGCAGAAACTTAACCACACGATACCTTCCCAGACACAAGGTACCAAAGGGTAGACTTCATAAAGGCGAGTTAATTATAAATAATTTACAGAGGACTATAATTGTGCGGTCATTCGTTACTTTTTTTCGTTGTATTTACAGATTAAGGTTCTGACATTAATCAATCTGTGGAAAATAATGTATTTTCCGAAAAATCCAGCGTGTATTTTTTATGAAAATTAGTGTAATACATTGTATTTAATAACAATTAATTTGTAAGTGAAAAAGAGAATCGAGAGGGAAGCTCTGCGCCTGCGCTGGGGGGGGGGGGGGGGCAGGGAAGAGACGCAATTGTTTGTTGAATGTTACAGGCACTAATGTAATGTGCTGTATAGCCCTTGTGGCTTAGCGCTTCTTTTTGATTATAATAATAATAATAATCTAATGTAATGTGCTTAATTTTCGTCGCTCTAGGGGTTATATTGGGCTTAAAACCTCTCAAATAGGAGCCGAAATTGTTGGATGTGCATTCCTGCATAACTTGAGCATTAAACAGATGTACAAGACAGCTCCAGGAACCTCAGATAAGCTATCTAAATTATGTTTGTAATTCTGGCCAGTATTATCATCATAAATTTAGTTAGAGGGGGGTTCTGTACATGACAATCTCCAGACTAATTGGCAAGTGTTATAATTATAAATTCTCCTTCTGTTATATAAATGTGTATATGTAATCATTTATTAATTTTAATATACAGTCCACAAATTTATATTAAATTTACCAGAATTCCTGGTGATGTACATTTCATTTGCAATTAATACAGGTCTAGAGCAATTTGTGGAGAGAGATGGTAGGTATCGAAGGGGGACATTTTTTGCGACCTATGTGTCCTAAAAATTCCTACTTGTCTCTGTAACTTTGATAAATAATAATTATCTTTGTTACCATTTACTTGTATGTATCTAATGAGATTCATCCAGGTAAATGTAATTTTCCACACAGTCGTTGCCAACGTCAGGTGGCAACAAAGGGACTACTTAACTACTAACACTACCATGCTGATGTCAGCGAGGCTTCACGAGTGTTCAGTTGTAATGGCCCGTTAAACCAGCTTGCCTTTCCCAACATACTCGCCAAGTCGTCAGAATAACCCACTTAGATGACCAGCTGTCTCCGTCCCCCTCCCTCTTAGACGACACACCTTCCATCCTCATCCTCATCACTCCCCCCCCCCATCATCACTTATATCCCCACACCATCAATTTACCCCTACCTGTCTTCTCTCCCTTCTTCAAGCACTTCTAGAACACTCTTACAATTCATTCTCTCCGTAAATGCACTAGTCCACCAATGGGAGCGCCACTACCCTTCCTCGGATCAAACTTGTCCAGGCTCTGTACGATCTCTACAGTTTAGCGGCTATGAAAGATGTGTAATCATCAAAAGCCATAGAGGTGTTCCTGGGTTACCCTGGGTTAATAATTCGAATATTATCTTATGGACCAGGGAGAGAGAGGATCTAGTAGCGATCAATGAAGAGGTGGGGCCAGGAGCTATGGCTCGACCCCTTCAACCGCAAATAGGCACCCGCCAATCAGTCCGCGCTGATCGCTTAGATATCCACTAATGATTGTTCTGATCATTTTTATCTTTAATAGTGAGGTTGATCAGTTGATCTTAACCAACCAGTACACGTTGATCGTCTGCTCTTAACTAGTCAGAACGCTTCTACTTGGACCACTGAGAAGACCGAGTGTGTGTCGCTGTCAGGGGTCACTGAGGCTGGTACCTCTCCCTGGCCTCCTGGGTCAAGCAACATGGTAACTCAGGACACTTTCAGCAAAGAAAAAACAATATTTCAAGTTCTTCCACAGTGGGAGGGCTTTATCACGCACTTGATAAAGTCCCACCTCGGGTGATGAAGATCCACCGTGGATCCAACAACTGAAGGGCTTCTCCTCACAACCACACTTTCCATGTTATGGAAAGTGTGATTGTAGCACTGTCACTTGCCCATGCAAGGCCAGGGCTACGCCGCTCTCTGTCAAGCGTAACACACACTAGGAATCTTACCGCTCCTCAGTGCTATGCAGATAAGGAAATGGCTCAGCCTCCCTCGACTACATGCGGGCAACGTCAGACATGAGATGCGGTTTCTGAGAATACATAAGCCCCATGTTCCTGGGCCATGGAAGATATGACACCTTCGTCCCGTCTATCTCCATCTCCGTCAGCAAGTCCAATCTATTTCTTTTCTTCTGCCTAGCCAGTGGAAAGCTTTTTTTTTTTTTGACTGAGTTTAGTTTTTATTCTTTTCCTCTGTGGCAGGAAGATATTTTTTACTGTGCCAGTCTCTCGCATTTTTATTACTAAAAAACGCCTGACCAAGTTTTGCGATTTTTTTTTTATTTTACACCTGTCCCTTAATAGTACTTTTCTCGTAGAGATGAGCCAAAATGCATAGCCAAGCAAATGTAAGCTTAGTCCTTGCAGCTATTGCAGTGACTCCCCATGCACTGAGCACAGTTCAGCATGTGACCACCTGGATCATGTCTCACTGTTGCGACCCCTGAATGGGTCACAATGTATATAATGTATATTACCTGTTCTTATAATTTTATATTGCTTATATTTGCGATAATAGCTAAATCGTAAATATATTGCTTTATATTATTATTTGACTTAGTTACTTTTGTTAGGTAGGATGTAAATTTATATATATATATATATATATATATATATATATATATATATATATATATATATATATATATATATATATATATATATGCAATAAGATCACAGTAAACAGGTGATTTCAGAATATGCAAAACAACCACTCTGAAAGAATAGAGAAATTCCAAGCGCTTTCGTGACTACTCACATTATCAAGGAGTAGTCACGAAAGCGCTTGGAATTTCTCTATTCTTTCAGAGTGGTTGTTTTGCATAATATATATATATATATATATATATATATATATATATATATATATATATATATATATATATATATTATATTCAGTGCTCATAGTTCAAGTCTTGATTGTCTAACTACTGTAATTATCGCTCGTTGTTCATTTCCCTGCCGGCTTCTCGGTGTTGCTGAGCAGCAACAGTCCACGGAGCTATCACGTGATCAGGTGGGGGTGTTCACACCTCACCTGTAGTCGTCAGTCTGGGCTAGACACTCTTGGTGGTTGGACGTATTCCTGACAAGACGTGCCTAACTCTCCCTTATTGGCAGATCGTCTCTGTCGCTTTCTTGTTGTTGGTTCTGTAGAACTCTGTTCACAGAACATTGTCTTAGTGATTTTCGACGTTGTACTGAGGTTGTGTGTCGCATAGACACTCTGAGCAGCTCAGGTCCTGAGCTGTAGCTTCTGACCTAACTTGCACTGGTATCTGTGTACTGTCACAGTCGGGGATTTTCTTATGCTGAACTTAGATTC